TTTTTTTTTTTCCCCAAAAAAAAAAAAAATTTTTTTTAAAATTTTTTTAAAAAAAAAAAAGGAAAAAGGGGGGTTTTTTAAAAATTTTTTTTTTCTTTTTTGGGGGGAAAAATTTTTCCCAAATTTTTGGGGGGGGGGAAAAAAAAAAAACCCCCCCAAATTTTAAAAAAAAAAGTGGTTTTTTTTTTGGGGAAAGGGGGAAAAAAAAAAATTTCAAAATTTTTTTTTCCCCCTTTTCCCCCCCCCCCCCAAAATTTCCCCAAAAAATTTTTCCCCCCCCCCCCGGCCCCTTTTTTTTTTAAAAAAAAGGGGCCCCTTTTTAAAACCCCCCCCCCTTTTTTGGTTTTTTTTCCCCCCTTTTTAAAAAAAAAAAAACTTTTTAAAAAGGGAAAATTTTAAAAAATTTTTAAATTTTTAAAAAAAAATTTTTAAATTTTAAAATTTTTCCCCCCCCCCCTTTTTTTTAAATAAAAAATTTTTAAAAAAAAAAGGGAAAAAAATTTTTTTAAAAACAAAAAATTTTTTTTTAAAAAAATTTAAAAAGAAACCCCCTTTTTTTTCCCCCCAAAAAAAAAAAAGGTTTTTAAAAAAAATTTTTTTTTTAATTTTTTTTTTTTTTTAAAAAAAAAAAAAAAAAAAAAAAAAAAATAAAAAAAAAAAAATAAATTTTAAAAAAAAAAAAAAATTTAAAAAAAAAGGCTTTGGGTTTTTAAAAGGCCCCGGGGGAAAATTTTTTTCTTTTTTTCCCCCCCCCCCCCCCCCCCTTTTTTTTTCCCATTTTAAAAAAAAAAATTTTTTTTTTGGGGAAAAAAAAAACCCCCCCCAAAAAAAAAAAAAAAAAAAAAAAATTTTTTTTTAAAAAAATTTTTTTTTCATTTTAATTTTAACCCTTTTTTTTTTAAAATATTAAAAATTTCCCCAAATTTTTAAAAAAAAAAAAAAGTTAATTAAAGGGAAAAAATTTTTTAAAAACCCCAAAAAAACCAAAAGTTAAAAAACATTTTTTTTTAAAAATCCAAATTTTTTTAAAGGGTTTTTTTTTTTTTAAAAAAAAAAATTTTTTTTAAAATTTTTGGGTTTTTTGGGGTTTTTTAAAAAACCCCCCCAAAAAAATTAAAATTTTTAAAAAAAAAGGGGGAAAAAAAAATTGGAAAAAAAAAAACCCTTTTTCCCCCCCCTTTTTAAAAATTTTTTTTTTTCCCTTTTTTGGGGTTTTGGGGGCCAAATTTTTAATTTTTTAAAAATTTAAAATTTTTAAAAATTTTTTTTTGGGTTTTTTTTTTTTTTAAATTAAAAAATTTTTTTTTAAAAAAAAGGGTTTCCCCCCCGGGTTTTTTTTCCCCCCGGGGGTTTTTTTTTTTTTAAAATTTTTTTAAATTTTTCCCTTTTTAAAAAAAATTTTTTTAAAAAAAAAAAAAACCCCTTTAAATTTTTAAAATTTAAAATTTTTTGGAAAAAAATTTTAAATTTTTTTTTTGGGTTTTTTTTTTAAAAAAGGGGTTTTTTTCCCTTTTTAAATTTTTTTTGAAATTTTGGGGAAAAAAAAATTTTAAAAAAAAAAAAAAAAAAAAAAAATTTTTTGGGCCCTTTTTTTTTTTTTTTTCCCGGAAAATTTTTTTTTTTAAAACCCAAACCCTTTTAAAAAAAATTTTAAAAAAAACCCTTTTTTTTAAAATTTAAAATTTTTTTTAATTTTCCCCCCCAAAAAAAAAAAGGTTTCCGGTTTTGGTTTAAAAAAAAATTTTTTTTTTTTTTTTAAAAAATTTTCCCCCAAAATTTAAAAAAAAAAAGGTTTTTTTTAAAAAAAATTTTAAAAAATTTTTTTTTGGGGGGAAAAAAAAAACCCTTTTTTTTAAAGGGGTTGGAAAAAAATTTTTTTTTTAAAAAACCCCCCTTTTTTTTGGGGGGGCCCCTTCCTTTTTTTGAATTTAAATTTTTTTTTTTTTTTTTTTCCTTTAAAATTAAACCCCGGGGTTTTTTTTTTTAAAAAAAGGGGGGGGGTTGCCCTTTTAAAGGGGGGGTTTTTCCCCCCCTTTTTTTCCCGGGGACCCTTTTTTGTTTTTTTTTTCCAAATTAAAAAAAAATTTTTTTTTTTTAAAATTAAATTTTTTTTGGGGGTTTTTTTTTTTTTTAAAAAAATTTTGGGGAAAAAAAAAAATTTTAAAAAAAAAAAATTTTTTTTAAAATTTTTAAAAAAATTTTTTTTTTGGGGAAAAAAAAAAAAAAAAAAAAAAAACCTTTTTTTTTAAAAAAAGGGGAAAAAAAAGTAATTTTAAAATTTTTTTTTTTTTTTTTAAATTTTTTTTTTTTTAAAAAAATTGTTTTTTTTTTTAAAAAAAAAAATTTTTTTTTTTTGGGGGAAAAAAACCCCCCCCAAAAAAAAGGGTTTTCCCCCAAAAATTGGGAAAATTTTTTAAAAAAAAAAAGGGGGGGGGGGCCCCCCGGAAAATTTTAAAATTTTTTAAAAGGTTTTGGGGGGAAAAAAGGAAATTAAAAATTAAAAAAAATTTTTTTTTTTTTTATAAGGGGGGGTTTTTAAAAAAATTAAAAAACCCCCTTTAAATTTTGTTTTAAAAAAAAAAATTTTTAAGGGTTTTAATTTTTTTCCCAAAAAAAATTTTTTCAAAAAAAATTGTTTAAAAAAAATTTTTTGAAAAAAATTTTTTTTTTTTTAAACCTTTTTAAAGTTTTCCTTTTTAAAAAACCTTTTTTTTCCCCCCCAAAAAAAAAAAATTTTTTTTTTAAAAAAATTTTTTTTTTGGAAAAAAAAAAAAAAAATTTTTCCCCAAAAAAAAAAATTTTTTGGGAAAAAAAAAAAAAATTTTTTAAAAACCCTTTTGGTTTTGGGGCAAAGGGGGTATTTTTCCCCCCCCCCCCTTTTAAACCCCAAAAAATTTTGAAATTAAAATTTGGTTTTTAAAAAATTTTTTTTTTTAAAAAAAAAATTTTTTTTGGAAAAAATTTTTGGGGGTTTTTTTGGAAAAAAAAAATTTTTCCCCTTTTAAAAAAAAAAAAAAGGGAAAGGGAAAAAATTTTTTTATTCCCGGTTTTAAAATTTTTTAAAAAATTTTTTTAAAAAAACCCTTTTAAAAAAATTTTTTTTTAAAAAAATAAAAAATTTTTAAAAAAATTTTTTTTTTTTTTTTTTTTAAAATTATTTTATTTAACTTTTATAAAAAAAAAAATTAAAAAAAATTTTTTTTAAATTTTTTCCCTTTTTTTTTAAAAAAAACCAAAAATTTTTTTTTTTCCCAATTTTTGGGGAAAAACCCCCCCTTTGGATTTAAAAAAAATTTCCCAAAAAAAAACCCAAACCCTTTTTGGGAAAAATTTTTTTTTAAAAAAATTTTTTTTTCCCAAAAAAAAAAATTTTAAAATTTTTTAAAATTTTTTTATTTTTAAAAAAAAACCCCCCCCCCCAAAAAAAAGGGGAAAAAATTTTTTAAAAATTTTTTTTTTTTTAAAAAAAAATTAAAAACCCTTTTTTTTTTTTTTTTTTTTTTAAATTTTTTTTAAAATTTTTAAAAATTTTTTGGAAAAAAAAAAGGTTTAAAAATTTTTAAATTTTTTTAAAAAAAATTTTTTTTTAAAAAAAATTTTTTTTTTTAAAAAAAATTTTTTTTTATTTATTTTTATAATTTCAATTTTTTACCCACTTTTTTTTTTTTTTTTTTTTTTTTTTTTTTTTTTTTTAAAAAAAAAAAAAAAATTTCTTTTAAAAAGAATTTTATTAGCCCAAAAAAAAATAAGGAATTTTAAAAGAAGCTAATATTTTAGATTTAAATTTTTTTAATTTTTTTTTTTTTTTAAAAAAAATTTTTTAAAATTTTTAAAAAATTTTAAAAATTTTTTTTAAAAAAAATTTTTTAATTTTTAAAATTTTCCCCCAAAAACCCCCCCCTTTTTTTTAAAAAAAAAAAAAAATTTTTAAAATTTTTTTTTAAATAATTGTAAATTTTAATTTTTTTAAAAATTTTTTTTTTTTTGGGGAAAAAAAAAAATTAAATTTTTTTTAAAAGGGGGGCCCCCTTTTTTTTAAAAAAGGGAAAAAACCTTTTTTGGAAAAAAGGGTTTTTTTTTTTTGGGGGAAAAAAAAAAAGGGGTTTAAATTTTTTAAAAAAATTTTTTTTAAAAAAAAATTTTAAAAAAATTTTTTTTTATTTTTTTTAAAAATTTTTTTTTGGGCCCACCTTTTTGGGAAAAATTTTTTTTAAAATAAATTTTAAATTAAAATTAGAAGCATGTATTTGTAAAGAATAAGTTATCAAAAACATCCATCTTTTAATAATTGAAATAAAACTATTGTCATCACCACTGTTAGCACTGCCGTTTATTGAGTATAGAGTACATCGGTAGTTCTGATGAGGGGCAGATAAACTTTGAGATTTTTGTTTATATCCATTAGCCCATTGACCTCATGTTTTACCAATTACCTGTGTGTAATGTACGATTTTTCGGTCAATTTAAAAAGCCCATTGTCTTGTTTATTTAGTGTAATGGGTACAGACACAATGATTGCAGTGGGGCATTACGCATTTCTCCTTATAACCAGTATGTTTATGGCTTTCTTAAGACAATGCGAAAATCGATCAATAATGGCTCCTCGTTAAACAAAAGATTTGTAATTTATTTTTAATGACAACTTTATTTTAACATATAAATGGTGCTGCAGCCAGTTTGATTGGATAATTATGCTTTTTAATTACTATGTTTTATGGCATATCTGTATAATTGGGATACACTTTTTACTCCATGTTTAATACATTGTACTATAATGTGGTACATCTGTTAATGAATTTGACATACATTCCAGGCAGTTGACATTTGTGGATGATCTCACTAATTTCATTTGTTGTAGTTTATAGATATTGAGTACATTGCATTCCAACAGTGTGTGTGTAGTCTCATTGGAAAATAGAGGCAAAGAAAGCAGAGTGTTAATTAAAACTCAAGGATTTAAAAAAAATAATCTTTTTATCATTTTGTTAAGCAAATGAAATTTTAAAAATGGCATTACATGTACTATCAAGAGGAGATAGTTTACCAAACAGTAAGTACTTTAATGTTTATAGGGGTATTATGACTGCAGCATTTTTTAAAAATCTAAATAAAAATGTCAATTATGCTTATATGTTTACGTCATGTTTTCAGATTCCAAGAGTCAAACATTTACTGAAGTCTACTCTCCTAAAAAGAAAGGTGAAACTAGACTTAACAAGCTTACAATGTGGTGTGGCCTTTATGCTTGAATATGTATATACCCATTTAAAGCTATGTTTTCTAAAAACTACTTATGCCAAAATATTTACCATTACACCTGTAGATATGAGTATGAGGAGGAATGCCTATAAGACATGTTGGAGTAACGTGTTTAAACGAATCACATGGAGTTGCATGCTGTCAGTATATACACTGTCACTCGGATCACCAACTGCATGCCTCTGTAGTCCTTATTGAATAACTCTAGTTAAATGGGTTAGATTATTGTCATATACCACATAAGTTTTAGGCCATAAGTTTCAGATATAAGGGATTTGAAATTATCAGCTGTTCCTGCTGTCTTTCTTCCTTACATAACCATTGAATAGAATTTCCTGATATCTAGATACAACTGTTAAGACTACATGATATCTTAAAGTCTGTATGCATTTTCAGGTGGGCCCCTTGATCTTTCTTGTTGTACATGTACTTCGATCCTTCTTGTACTTCTTTGTAGGTAGCGTGCTTCATCTTATGTTTTTCACCTCAGATCCCAAATATCAAGTGATCCTTTCCTATCCAAGCTTGTAAATCAATCCCTTGAGATTCTTGGTCTATCTGTTGTCTGTCAAAACTGCTTGCAAAACTAAAAAAAAAAACAAAACTAAGGGTACAAGTACTTTTGGTTGCCCTGTATTGATGTTTTTTAGAAGGAAAAAATGCTTGCATTGGCTGCTTTAACTCCTGACTGGTTGAGACAGTGTTGACGTTTTTACCAGAAGAACTTGACTCATGGTTTACCATCAAATCTGAGTCCAATATGCCTTTAAAGGTTTTAATATTACAAAGTTTGATGGTACCTTTGGTACAGAGATAAAATGAGACAACATTATGATTTGTTAGCAGTCCTTTAGGAATCCTTATCCTAAACTAGAACCAATTTATACTGATTTGACTAAAGTGTCCTCTTGTAATCACATGTAAGGAGCAAGGACACAATTAAGACAATAACATTTCTTGATTGACATTCAGTAATCCTCAAGGTCATTTAGACTTCTATGGTGGAATGCACTGTCCCTTTCTCTCAATATCTACAGTTCAGTTTGTAAACATAAAATCAATATTTACAAACAATCAATGTCTAATTTTACCAACCACTCAAAGCAGTGTTAGTAAACTTCTTCTCTTTCATGGAATATATTCAAGAATGGAAGATTTTTAGCTCACCTCAACGAAGTTGGGGGAGCTAATATGTAATACCCTCGGTGTCGGCGTCGGCCCTGTAATGAGTAAAACTTGCAATGATGATACATGTTAGGATGCATACTACCAGGCTTGCTTTGGATGCTGAATCTGACCTACATTTTCTGGATGAGTGAACAGGTTAAAGTTTTTGATGCAGGATTCATTTTCAAGTAACTATGAGCTCTTTAATGACTAAACTTGCATGGGTGATACATTTTAGGATGCATACTACCAGACTTGCTTCGGATGCTAAATCTGACCTACATTTTTGAGGGAAGAGTGAAGAGGTTAAATTTTTATGCATATTTCATTTTTAAGTAACTATTAGCCCTATGTTGTGCAAACTTGCATGGATGATACATCTTAGGATGCATACTAATGGACTTGCTCCAGATGCTGAATTCGACAGACATTTTCCAGATAATGGACCAGGTAAAAGTTATGGGTGCAGGTCTATCACCAAGAAACTATAAGGCTTAAATAAACCAAACTTGCCCAAATGATGCATCAAGGGATGAAAACTCTTAAACCTGCTTCAGATGCTGGATTTTGATCACATTTTTGTGATTAAGAACTTGTTTGCATGTATCATCCATTTTCAAAGAGATCCTGGAAGTATTTTATCTTGTTTAATGTACTCTTCATTAAATACTAAGTGTTATTTTCATATAATCTTTACTTCTTCTTAGAAAAAAGAATGAAAAAAGTCACTCAAATACATTTTCAATCAGATAAAATAAGGTTAGCATGGTGGCCCAGGACATCCATGTTTTTTGTTGAGCTGCCTTTCATTCATTATCATGTTTTTGTACCTTTGACCATTAGTGCTACATTTATCTATGAGTACATTGTACGCTGGTAGATTTTAAAAGATATATTTTGTTTAGAGGGGTATGGGTTTTTTTTGATTAAACACTAAGAAATATTAAGAATTATGCATAAAATGGATCTAACTTGTATTTTGTGGTGTCCTTGTATGTTAAAATTCATAATTAATGTGTGATATCATAAGAAGGATATTTGTTTTATTAATTCAAATTAGCATGATACATGTAATGGTGATATGCATAGGGTGCAGTCTTAGTAAACCTAGATATACTGATAGTTTTATTTGATTCTTTGGAATTGATGTTTACTAAATCTACTTATTTTGTTGTTGTTGAACATGGTATTAATTAAGAGATTTAATTGTGATTATATAAGTATGGTTCAATCCTTTTTTACTATTCTTCCTTTAACCGTTCAGTTTCTATTTTAAGTTGGTGGTCATAGGGGAGGCCGAGGCCGTGGTGGCAGAAATACAATGGGCCGGACATCAGTGGCCAACTCCGAGCCCAAAATGGACGGTGTCGTACAGAGAATGATGTCTGCCAAAAACCTAAAGCTGAATGAACTCAGGAACCAGATCGAGGACATGCAGACAGCATTCCGGGACCTCAAAGAGGAGAACAAGCTCCTCAAAAAAATGCAGCACCGACAAGAGAAGGCCCTCGTGAAGTACGAGGAAACGGAGGGAGAGCTTCCTCAGATCATCGCCAGGCACCAAAACGAGGTGCGAACACTGAAGGAGAACTTACGTAAAACACGTGAGAAATATGAAAGGACAGATCGCTACCTCAGGGATGCGGAGGATGAACTTGACAAGGTCAAGGGCAAGTTAAAGCGGTACAAGTCTCTGGCGGACCAGAATAACCTGAAGGAGAGGGACGAGCTTCAGAAGGAGAACCAGAGGCTGCAGATAGAACTGGAGGAGAAGGAAATCAGGGTCAAGGTAAGGGATCAAAGGTGTAAACATAGATAAGGTATCAAAGGTGTATACAAAGGTAAGGAAACAAAGGTGTATACGAAGGTAAGGAAACAAAGGTGTATACAAAGGTAAGGAAACAAAGGTGTATACAAAGGTATGGAAGTAATATTAGTTACATAGTCTTTTAGTGACAGGGTATGGGATGATACCTGGTTAGTAAATTTCATACCTGGACTTGGCTTCGCCTCGCCAGGTATGATATTGACTAACCAGGTATCATCCCATACCCTGTCACTAAACGACTATGTAACGAATTTACCCCACCGATGAAACATTTATGTTTTATCTGTGATTTATAAATGATTTTCTCTGCTAAATGCTTCACCACGCTTATACTGTGCCTATTATGACGTCACGTCATGTTTGTTACGTAATACATCGACCGGGTATAGATTTGCAACTGACCGGGTATAAGTAATCCACCGCTTTCACGTGACGGACTTTAACCAATCGTAAGCCAGGATTTCACGGAAAAATTAACAGAGGTGGGGTAAAGGTGTATACAGGGAAAATACACACAGATATCAGGGAAAACAGAGGTGTATGTACAGGGAAAAATATACTAGGTATAAGGGGATGGAGGTAAAGGTAACGAAAGATCGACATAGAAATATGTTCAAAAAGGAAATTTTAAAAGTTTTCAGATACCCTGATGTTGGGTTTTAATGTAAATATGACAGGAAATGATATTTTGCTGGTAATAGATCTTAGTCTTCCAAAAAAAATAAAAAAACTGTTTTAGGTGCTTCGAAAGTTTGTAAAATCTAACCACTTTTAAATTAAAAGCTTTGAATGGGGTAGTTTTGTCAAAACTGCAGAAAATTAATTTATAAAGCATTGATTTTGTGAGGTTGTTAAAGTTTAAGAACAAATCATATAAACACTATTGAAATGTTTGGGAAAATTTTGCCATGGAATATACATGCACCATTACATTGAGTTATATTTTTTAGATGACAAAGTCATTTTTATATAAAGACTTCTGATGAAAATTTAATCTCATTTATAGGATATTTTCTCCAGTGGAGGTGATGGTTTCTAGAAAAGTATAGGGAAAAAATGGAAAAATGATCACATGTAATATTAAACCATTAGTTAGTATTGCACTTTAAATAAAAACCTTCGAAATTATAGTGTTTGTGCGTACTCTAAGATTGTTGTAGACAGATTTAACTGCACTGACCTAAAACTGCTGATTTAGTTATTAACATTGATAAGGTATTGTCTCAATCACAAGATGAAAATGTTACATGTCCTTATCTACTGGATCTTTATTGATCGCTTTGTGAGCTTGATATGCAGTTTGTTGTGAATTTCTTTTTAGTCAATTTTTGTTGGACTTGATAAGCAAAGGGAGTTCAATTTACCTCATTCATTTTTTTATGAAATGATAAAGGATTGAGCAGCAGTTTCTGTCAGTTTGTTTGCCTGCCAATAACTTGAATTCTGTCCGAAACTCATAAAATTGTAGGTTTATATAAAGTTCAAGGTCAAGGACTCCCGAAGGTCAAGGTCATCTCTGAAAATTTAAGTTCTATAGTAAATTGCAAAGATTAATATAATCAATCTTAGATTATCAATTTCACACACAGAAAACTCACTCTAAAATCTGAGGAAACTGTATGTACATATATGTGCCTGGAATTTTAAGCAAGGTTAATGATTCTGTAATGATTCTTCAAACTAAAAATTGTTTTTGTAGAAACAATTTTAAGTGTTCTTTCCTCAATTTTGCTGAACGAAGCTGAAACTGTGATTGACAAAGCTTGTGTATTTTTGTAGGATTTGGAAAAACACATTGTAAATCTGAACAAAAACCACAGGCACGAGCTGGGGATAGAAATGGCCAGGAATCGAGACCTAACCAAGCAGATGGATACCCTCCGAGATCAGAATAATCAGATGGAAAAACTACTCAAGGTAATGAATAAGGCAACAGTAAAAATGTTAGTTATACCCCCCGCAAACGAAGTTTGGGGGGGTATATAGGAATCACCTTGTCCGTCTGTCTAGCTGTCCATCTGTCCGTCTGTCTGTCCGTCTAGCTGTCCGTCTGTCTGTGCAATCGTGTCCGGTCCATATCTTTCTAACAGAGGGACATTAGAATCTACTACTCCACATTAAGATTGCTCATGACCTAAGGGTGTGTCATGACCTTGACCCAAGGTCATTCGTGGAAGTTCAAGGTCACTGGAAGAAAAATTTCATAATTCGTGTCCGGTCAATATCTTTCTTATGGATAAACTTGGTAGGTTCTCATTTCACACAAAGATTGCCCATGACCCAAGGGTGTGTCATGACTTGACCCAAGGTCATTTGGGAAAGTTCAAGGTCACTGGAAGAAAATTTTCATAAATCATGTTTGATACATATCTTTTATAGATAAACTTGGAAGGTTCTCATTTCACACAAAGATTGCCCATGACCCAAGGGTGTGTCATGACCTTGACCCAAGGTCATTTTGGGAAGTTCAAGGTCCCTGGAAGTAAAATTCATAATTTGTGTCCAGTCCATATCTTTCTTATGGATAAACTTGGTAGGTTCTCATTTCACACAAAGATTGCCCATGACCCAAGGGTGTGTCATGACCTTGACCCAAGGTCATTTGGAGAAGTTCAAGGTCACTGGTAGAAAAATTTCATAATTTGTGTCCGGTCAATATCTTTCTTATGGATAAACTTGTTAGGTTTTCATTTCACACAAAGATTGCCCATGACCCAAGGGTGTGTCATGACCTTGACCCAAGGTCATTTGGGGAAGTTCAAGGTCACTGGAAGAAAAATTTCATAATTCGTGTCCGGTCCATATCTTTCTTATGGATAAACTTGGTAGGTTCTTATTTCACTGAAAGATTGCCCATGACCCAAGGGTGTGTCATGACCTTGACCCAAGGTTATTTGGGGAAGTTCAAGGTCACTGGAATAAAAATTTCATAATTTGTTTTTGATACATATCTTTATTATGGAAAAACTTACTTCTGAAAAACCCAGCGGGGGGTATTTTGTCCCGTTTGGACAGTTCTATTTAATATTTGGCTGATATTTTATATACAGACAGGAGGATAGTATACTGTATTTACCATCAGTTCTATCTGCTTAGTCAATGTAGTCCTGTAACTTTAAAAAAATGTTTTTCCTGAAATTTGACTTCTGTATGCCTTCTCCTGTTTTTATCATTGTTAATTTTAATATCATAGTGACATTTATTTGGCACATATTGAATGTAATGTTTTACCAATAGGAGAAAGACAAGGAACTTCAGATCAAGAACATTTATGCTAACCGATCTCGTGCTCCTCATCGGCTTCCAGCTTCCTATGGGGGCACCCCACACGACACTCCCCCACCTAAAGCAAGAAAAAGGGCACCCTCACTGCAAGATCTGACCCCCAGAGAAAAGGTCAAGTTATATGAGGAAAAGAGAAAAGAGGAGGAGAGAAAGCAGAAAGAGGTGGGTATTGTGTTATGAAGGGAGGTAACTCTGATTTTTTTCTGTCATAGGAAAAGAAAGAGATCATTGCTGAAATTATTGAGGTATCTGAATGGTTGTAAGGAGGTATAATATAGGTGGTGTTTTGATGTTTATTTAGATCTATTTTAGGAATTTTAAAGGTGAAGAAGACATCTTCAAATTATCTTTCAACATTTTTGGGGGGTTATTTGAATACAATTAAAATGAATTCAAAAGTAAGAGACATCTCTTTTTGAATCTGAAAAGAAAATGACAGTCACATGAATAAATTATAGTATACTGTATAGGGGGAAATTAACTCGCAGTGTTAATATTCGCTATATTCACGGTGTTGATGAAACCGTGAATTCAAGAAACAGTGAATAAGTTTTCAATAGCTATAGATAAGGGAGGAAACTTTTATTATAATTATACCAATTCCGCGAATTCAAGAAACCGTGACAGTGTCAGAGAAGAGAATAACGTGAAAATTACAACCCATGAAATTAATCCCCTATACAGTATTTTGTAGTAGGTGAGGGAATGTATTTACTGCGTGTATAGAGGTTTTGGTACTTACCGATATTATTTACTAACTGTGATAAGTCTTTATAAAAAAATGAACACAAATAATAGAAATGTTAAATGAATTTTGAGCATGTGTATATTTTCCTCTGTAGTCAAGGAAAGGGCGAGGTAATGGTCCTAGGATGGCCTTTAGTGATAATATAGACAAACACAGCCGTGACACACAGAGGTCATATGACTATGACACATACAATAGTTATAGTAGTCCAGAAAAGGTATACAACTCCAGCAATTCATGTCTATTCTCTGAGTGATCTCCCTTACACAGTCCCGGTTTGGTTTTTATCAATGTATGACTTACTTTATAACTTTTGGAAATTCCCATTCTTTTTTGTTGTATCGTATTTCTGCTGAATTTTTAATAATTTGCAATATTTTTGGTTTATCTCTGCTTGCACTTAAATTGTCAGCTCTTTCCTTCTAATTATGAATTAAGTTAATAATTACATAAGAGTTTGAAGAAATAAATTTACATGTAGTCCTATAATTCTGGTACAGAATTTGCGAATTAGGAAAACTAAATTGTAAACCACATGCACACAGTCTACCCTGCACCGCTTGACTTCTGTTTTACCTACAGCACATACAAATATTGAACAACATGAATGATCCTAACAGTCAGAATTATAGTTATCTCTATTTTCACCAACCCTACTAATTAACCAATGGTGCCACAACTCGGAAATGTCCCTTCACCACTGCAGTGCCACTGATGAGCATATTTTACTGGTTTTTATATTAAAGATACTCAGATGAATTTTGACAAAATATTTGGAATATTTTTCCACACAGAACTCGCAGAGCAAGGGGTATTCTACCTCGACAGAATATGCCCCCACCTGGAGACGCCCCGCCCCCGGGGATCACGAGTATGAATCAGCCAAGGAAAATAAACCTCCCCTGCCCAGTACGGGTAGAAAACCATTTGGCTTTAAGTTCCCTGGTAGCACCACTCGACCAGAGGTATTTTATGTGGCCGTATGATTTTAAGGCTGCAGTGTATTAGAGTTCTGTCTCACCTAACCATAGCTGTCTTAATTGTGTTCACTTCTAACGAGTAGGAGCTTGACATTATTTTGTATAGTTGACATTTCAGTATGGAAGCATATAACCTCCTGTATTGTCATATCAGATTTGTTTTTCATTTAGAATTGATGTTGCTTATAGGGTCTTTCTAAAGTTTTTTTTTTCAAATATTAATTCATTTTATATGCAAGCAAATCCTGTTATCTCAAACTTAATGCGACCACAAAAAAAAAAAAAACTTCAAGATGTCAGAAGATACAGTATAAAAGAGGTAATTAACTTATAGAATAACTGGTTGAGACCTTCAAATAACATTGATATATCCATGGTATTCAAGATATCGTGTTTGAGATACCAAAGTTCAACTTGCTGGTCAAGCACTATATGATCTTTGAAATGAATCTGAAATCAATATTCAATCATCTCTTTACATTGGTGAAGGCCATGCTAACATTTCTTGCTCTGAAAAACACATGTAAAACGTCATCTAGTGTTTTATAAGAGCAAGCTCTGAATCACGAACACGGTTAACAAAACAAAGAAAACAATTAACATTCAAAGTCATTAGTCTGAGGGTGTTAATTATTCCGCCATTAATCAGTATTCCGTCCTGTGTTTTGTCTGTTTGCAGTGGATGTGTGTTGATTTCATTCAAATTCTGTGTTAATTTCTCTTGCCACGATTTGGGTGTAGTTTTCTGTATTTTTTTTTCTGTAGAACTGTAGTAAAAGTGTTTTTTTAAAAGTTCATCAATTTTCAATTTATTAGTTCAAGTTGTGTTTAAAAACTAAATGTTTGACTTATGCACCATGCTGTGATGTGTAGCACATTCTGTAACAAGAAAAATCCAGTTGATTCATTGATTTTCTGATTTCTTGTTTATGCATTATTGAATAGTGTGTGAGGGATTAATATATCTTAATTGTTCTAAGTAATTACGTGATTGACAATTCCAATAGCATTTAATTACATTTTTTTCCATATTTGGCGTAATTCATGTACAGTCTCTATTTAAAATCTTTTTTTGTTTTATAAGGATCAGAAGAAAAATTCACAATCAAGTCTCTTAATAGTCAAAAATAAACTTGAAAAAATTACCTGTCTATCAAACTAACAGGTATTGAATATGACTTTCAGAAAGAACTAGAGGAGTTTGGGGCAGCTATTGCAGATGAGGTGACAATTTTGCACACTTGGTCTTTGCATGAAAAAATGCATGACGTTTAGTTCCTCTAAAGATTCTTATTTAGAGATTTTCAGTTAAACCCAATATGCTTGTTGACTTCCCTGTTAATTGTATTCATGTTTTTGAGGGGTGGGTGGGGGGCTTGCATTTGTTTTTTTTTCTGAGATATGTAGCCTTTGCATGATGGATTCAGTGTACTACCAACATTTGGTTTTGTCAGGAATTTTTTTTTCCCTCTTAGCATGTTGCATTGATGCACAGATTTCAATGAAAGATCAAAAATGAGTTACATGAGTGTCATCTAAAAAGAAATATTACCGTTTCGGAATAATTAAGCTGATAAATTTTTTTTTGGGGTGGGGGGGGGAATGAAGTTTGGGGTTGGTAAATCTTTAAGGCTTGCCTAATTAATAATACATAATTATTCTTTCTTTCATGATTTGATTTATGTTTGTTAAAATTGCTTTCTTTTCTTTGGTTATTTCTATATTTTATATATTTCATAGTCATTTAACTTTTTTTTATTTAGCTAACTTATTATTTAGTATAATTAATGTGAATTGTTCATGACAATAAATAATTTAATCCACTGCAACCATATTCTCAACGTCTTTGATATAATGGAATGGTAAATCAATAACAACCTTGATAAGTTATTACTTCTCTATATATGACATTTGCATGCCATACAAAATCAATTGCTGTTCATTTGCCCTTGGATGTGCAATGTGTGATGCGATAAATTTCATTAATTCAAAGAAGATGCTGAGTCATGGTGTATAATACTATCTTTATGTTTTACAGCAACAAGAGAAAAGTTGGAGGGAAAAAGAAGAGAAAGAACGCGAGGAAATGGAAAGGAGATTAAATCAGGAGCGAGAAGAAAAAGAGCGCAGAGAGTGGGAGAGGCGAGATCGAGAAAGAAGAGAGCGGGAAGAAAGAGAGCGACAAGAAGAAGAAAGGCGGAAAAACGAAGAGGCAGACTGGAAATTAACGCTGGAAAAAGAGAGGCTCAAACACGAACAGGAACAGAGGGATAACGAAACGAGACGTCGAGAAGATCAGCAGCGGCGTGAGCGGCAGGAGCAGGAACGCAGGGACCGCGAGAGACAGGAGCAGGAGCGAAGGGCCAGGGAGGAGCGAGATCGAGAAGAAATGGATGAAAAACTACAGGCAGAAAGGAAGAAAAAGGACGATCTGTTAGCGAAGTTAAAGGAGATTGATGAAGGGAAGAATAAGAGCAAGGGCCCAGAGAAGAAGGAGGTGGATACATTCTTTGTTACGTCAGGAAACGTGGATGTTGTGGATAAGAAAACAGACAAAAATAAGAAAAAGGAGAAGGAACCCGATACTTTCTTGTTTTCTTCCAGTCGGAAAGACAGTGATGGGGGGCTAGGATCAGCCTCCAGTAAAAGTAGCTATACGTTTTCTAAACCAATTGAAAATATGCATTCAGGGAAACCGGCAAGAGATGATGTGACTGTTCCGTATATTGAAAAGAAGAAACAGCAGAAAGCTCAGGAAGATGTAGATGAATTTGGTGGATACATGCCGTCATTCTCCAGCAACAAAACAACATCGAAAACGACGAAGAAAAGTGGAGGAATTGTGTTCAATGACGACTTTTTGTCATCGAAACCTCCACCGAAAAAGACAAACAAAAAGAGTGATTTAATGTCAGATCTATTTGGCAATCAAACAAAAACTACTAGTCAAAATAAAGATAACGATGATATCTTTAAGCCATCCACGACTAAGAAAACAACCACCGTGAATTCATCCAATAAGAGTTCTTTCCCGTGGGATGATGATGATTCAAAAACTACAGCAAAGAAACCTGCCACGAAGCGCGAGAACTCCACCAGCGCGTTATTTGGAGGTGGAAGTGCTCTGATTGATGATGACTTTTCTACAAAAGACTCCTCTAAAATGTTACCAAGGCGACCGCGGCAGACGACCACCACATTCCAGGCCCGTCCCGCGGTGACTGCGGTAGATCATTATGATGACGATATTGAGGAGGTTATTCTGTAATGATTTCATATTTATAAAAAATGTTCTGTAGTTTAATATCAAAGGAAGAGATATTTTTCTAATTTAATACTGTATGTATGGAAAACTGTGTATAGGATCTTATTTTTTCTATAACTGCACAATTATGAAATTTGAATAACTGTCTTGCATTTTGTTTTCGATTTTTCGTTAAGTGTAATTGCAAGGCAGGTCTCTTTGATTTGTTTCACTTTGTTTTATTTTAAAAAAGTGTTTAATGAAGATATAATATATTCCGAGATACAAGATCCTATATATTAATCTTTTTCTTGAGAAAAAAAAAATACGGTTAAACATAATTAGTCATGCAGATTTCACCTGTTGATATGAATGAGAGAAAGTTTTGTGCCATTCTATCATACTTACAGTCTTTGTATGTGGTGTGTTTGAGTCAGTCCATACAAATGTTTAGATAGGAAGGTAGATTTATACTGGTGCCA